CCAAGTCTTCCTGATTTCAAAACCAACACTGCCTCAACTATACCTAGATGTCTACTCTTCTCGCCTTTTAACAGCTATTTCGATAGCTCCATTTATGTAGGGGTTTTTTCAGGTTTGCAAAGTACTTTATAATATTATCTCATTTAATCTTCACAATAACCCTGGGAGGTGGATGCTATTATTATCTCCACTTTACAGATGAGGTAAACAGAGGTCAAATGACTTGCCCTGGGTCACACAGCTAGTAAGTGCTGAGAGTCTGGATTTGAACTCAGGTCTTTCTGACTCCAAGTCTAGCACTCTATCTATTTCACTATGGATAGCTGTTCTCCATCCCCGTCCCCTCATGTGCCTGCTCCTTTTTGCTCCTTTCTCTTCAATTATTGTTTTTGTTATTCAGTCATTTCAGTTATGTCCAACTCTCTGTGACTCCAATTAGGGTTTTCTTGGTAAAGATACTGGAGTGGTTTGCCATTTTCTTCTCCAGCCTATTTTACAGATGAGGAAACTGAGGCAAACAAGGTTAAGTGACTTGCCCAATGTCTTTTTTTAAAAAAATTATTTTTTTAAGGCAATTGGGGTTAAATGACTTGCCCCGGGTCACACAGCTAGTAAGGGTCTGAGGTCAGAATTGAACTCAGGAAGATGAGTCTTTTTTTTTTTAAGGCAATTGGGGTTAAGTAACTTGCCCAGGGTCACACAGCTAATAAGGGTCTGAGGTCAGAATTGAACTCAGGAAGATGAGTCTTTTTTTTTTTAAGGCAATTGGGGTTAAGTGACTTGCCCAGGGTCACACAGCTAGTAAGTGTCAAGTGTTTGGTCTGAGGACAGCTAGTAACTGTCAAGTGTTTGGTCTGAGGCCGGATTTGAACTCAGGTCCTCCTGACTTCAGGGCCAGTGCTCTATCTACTGTGCCACCTAGCTGCCCCCTTCTCTGCAATAGCCCGGACCTATACGGAAGGCTTGGAAGGTAACCACTGGACTCCTTGGCACACTTGAATTTCCTCTCCTACTCATGGCTGGAGGTCTTAGCACTGGACAGGTACTAAGGGATAGGTACGTCCTGGACTCCTCCCTCTCCAATCTAAAAAGGATTATAGATTTGGAGCTGGAAGTGACTTAGCATCTAGTCCCACTCTCCTTTACACGTGAGGAAACTGGGCCAGGATGGTAAAGGGATTTGCCTGAGGCTATACAGTTAGTGTCAGAGACAAGATCTAAACCCAAATGTTAGGTCCAAAGCTAGACCTCTCTCCACACTTCTCCAAAGTCTCTCCAAATACCCAAAGGGAGAAGCGACGTCGAATGTTCCTCTAGTGCTCTCCATGAGTCTGTACATTGTGGCAGAGCAGCAAGGGATGTGTAACCCAGAGACGTGGACAGGTCAAGCGAGGCATCTCGGGCTGCCTTGGCCTCCGCTCTGCCAATGCTGGCTGTCAGGTTAAATATAGTTTGTTTTCTTTCCATCCCCTTGTTTTCACTCCTTCATCCCCATGGGGAGGGATGGCAAACCCCCAAATTCAGGCTAGAGGGGCGGAAAGCCAGACAGGCCAGCTGGGCTGCCACCCAGAGCCCCACTAGGGGAGGAAGAGGAAAGCAAACCTGGGTCAGAACCTGTCCCCTGGGCCATGGGATTCCCCATGGTGGCTTCCTTCCGGCCACCCTCCAAGTCAACCTGCCATAATCCTATGTCTCACATACTCTCTACTATAGAGACTTTCAGTAAGATGTAAACTAGTACAACAGAAAGAGCAAAATACAAAAAGATATGAAACAACATGCTGTCATTGATGGGAGGACCCTTAGAACCCAGAATATGAGAGCAAAAAGTGAGCTTAGAACATGGAATGTCAGATCAAAGGAGGCTTAGAGCAGAGAATATGAAGACTGGAATGTGACTTACCACACAGAATGTCAGACCTGGAAAGGGACTTAGAATATGGAATCTCAGAGCTAAAAGGGAACTTAGAACATGGAAAGTCAGAGCTAGAAGGGGGTTCAGAACACAGAATGTCATAGATGGAAG